ACTCAAAGCAGAAAAAGATAAATGACCCAAACGAAAATGACATAACATGACACAACTAACAGACTCTGAAGAGGTAGATCCAAAAGCAACTTTCCCAGGTTGTCCTTGGCTTTGTCCAGGAGTATCCAGTAAGTATATTCCATTCGCCTCATGGCCACTCCCAATCACTTTTTGAGACTTCAGGTCCTGAAAAACACAATAAGAAGGGAAGAAGGTTACACTGCAATTCAAGGATTTAATTAGGCTACTCACTGACAATAAATTAGTATTCGGTCTAGGGACATGAAGAACAAAAGAAAGAGAAGGAGAGTCTGTCGCCTTGATGGTTCCCTTGCTAGAGATAGGAGCAAGTGAGCCATCAACTAGGGTAATCTTATCACGGCCAGGAAGCAAATCATAAGAAATAAACAAAGTGGAAAGGCTTTTCATATGATCAGAAGCACTAGAATCAATAATCCAAGGGATCCTATGATTACCCGAGATAGTTGCATGATTGGCAGTAGCATGTATACCTGAATGTGCAAATGTAGAAGCAGTTAGATTGCCTAGAGGGTTGGAGGAGGAGGCTGCACTCTTAAGGAAACTGATCATCCTCCCATACTTCTCATATTCTGCCTTCATAACTGCTAACTGCTCAGTAACAGTCCTCTCATATGTGAAGAACCTGCCATTATCTGGGACTGTGGCTGTGTTGGCACTTCCTGACTTCCCATTATCAACCTACTTTTGAAAACAGGGTGGAAGGAGTTCGGGATGTAGTTTCCAACATTTATCTTTTGTATGTTTTGGTTTCTTGTAGTACTCACATATAACTTCCCTTTTCCCTGAACCACCTGGACTGCCTGTAGTCACCTTTGATTTCAGCCCTAGATTAGCAAAATGGTCACTTGGGATGGTCCCTTGAACCTAGACCAGCCTCCTGCTCTCTTCACTACTCACCATGGCATAGGCCTGGGACAAAGATACATTGTCCTTAGCTAAGATATTCTGTTTGGTAATGTCAAACTCGGGTTTCAGCCCTGTCAAGAATTCAAATACCCTATTTCTCTCAACTAATTTCCGGTATGTCTCAGCATCATTCGTGCTTTCCCAGACAATAGTTTCCATTAGGTCTATTTCTTGCCATAGGGATTTCAGCATTGATAAGTATACTGCTAAAAGTCTCTCCCCCTGCCTTAGACTATTCACATCACTCCTTAACTTATATGCCCTGGCCACATTCGGTTTTTGTGAATAAGTTTCAGCAATACTATATATTTCCTTAGTTGAATTCATCCATAAATAATGTTGACTAATTTGTGGTTGCATTGAGTTCACTAACCATCCAATAACAGTATAATTCTCTTGCATCCATTTCTCATAAGATGGATCATCTTCCGGGGGTGCTTTCTCTCTCCCGGAGATATACTCCCACTTGCCTCTACTACAAAGATGTATTTTTACTGACTGTGACCATGCTAGATAGTTAGTTCCATCGAGCTTGACTGTGGTCACAGCCAATAGCGAGTCTACGGGTGCTCCCGGAACCTGTCCAGATTTTGTGCTACACTTATTTTCAACTCCCGAGATATCCATCTTCCTCAAATAGCTCCAGAAGAACTTCAAATAGCTTCAAATGATAAAAAAGGAAGACAGAGAAAAATCAGACACCAAGTACCAACCTCTATGAAGTCATATCTGCCACCTGCGTCTCACCCAGAACCCGGGAGAAATAAGAAAACAGCAGCCGCTCCCTGTAGGCTTCACAAAACACCACAAGGCTTGGATCAATCTTCAAGATAAAGAGGAAGAACTCCCTTAGTCACTAAGTGCCAAGGTGAAGCTCCCTGTGGGGCCCGCAATCAGAATTCTCCAGTCGATTAGGGTTTTGGGCAAAAAACTCTTGGGGCTGTCAGAATGATGACCAAGACAGCACCCTTTTCTCCAAAAAAACCACTAACAACTGGGCTGAATAGTTTCTTCAATCACTCATTTGATTCAGCTCTCCATACACACCGTGTATGGGAAAAAAAAGGAAGAAAAGAGAAGAAAAGAGCCCGTTCTGATACCAAGAAGAAAAACAGTCCAAAAGAATGTGAGGACTGATTTTAAGAGTTGTGAAAAAGGATTAGATATCAGCAGCAAAGAGAGAAGAAGAAGAAGAAGTTGGTGGCAATAGGGTTTTGGGAGAATGGTTAATCAAACATTACTCCCTTCCCTAATCCTTTTCATTAAAAAATAATTTACAGAGTTTTGGTATTTATAGAGAGGCCTTTAATTGGGCGATTAACTTAATTAAGCATAAACATAAAGAAACATAAAAGGCCCATTAGTTAAAGGCCCATTAACAAAAGAAACAGAAACATAAATAAATAAGAACATCCTATGGGCCATTCGGCCCATTCTCTCTACAAATATCAAATATTTTTTTGTTGTTTAACCATAGTTCCTTTTTTATTGTCCCAATATGAATATCATTCATCAAGTACTTTGGCCCTTTCACTTTACCAACACTGATGGAGATGGGAAAGCTAATGTTTTAGGTTGAAAGAAACACTTTCTGTCCTGGCATGAGACATTGGGGACCATTGCTAGGGATCACCCGATGACCACTGGAGGTCAAAGCATCAGTCTAAAGATCGCCAATGGTTTACAAATGAAGCTTACACCCTATGCCTTAAGGCTTTATAGTTCCAAGAAAATGGAATGCCTTGTGTCATGCTTGTTGTCTGATAACACTGGTGTAGAAGCCTTATGGCCATTTGCAATTCATTAGCTTATTGCTTTGGAATAATTTGATGACTTTCAGGAGAGTAGATTCCTAAGCAATTTGGATAACCTCATCTATGGAAACATACTTAAAAATTTCCAGATCGTGACACTTAAAAGAATTTCTTGGGATGGAGTCATTAAGGCATTCTTTAGAGGGCGTGGATTCCAAAGTAATTATGCTGACCTCATCTATGGCACAGTCTTGAAAATTTCTACTGACTTCTAGAAATGCTTGTGGTGAAGTTATTAAGGAGCTATTTATCAAGAGTTGCCAAAATTACCAAAGCAGAGTTCAAAGTGATTGTTGTGTCGGTCTTTTTTGTAATTCATTTAGCGCTAGTGTGACTAACTTCTTTTCATCTATTGCATGTTTGCAAATTTGTCAGTTCCTTGGCATGTCAGCTAAATTTCATTTATGACATGAGTTATGATCATGGTAATAGTACAACTAAAGGTATTTTTTAAAAAGCAACCACATTTTTAAGTTTGATGAGATTAGATTGTTCTAAAAGTGATCAAGTAGGGTGGGCATTTTCTTTGGTAATTGAGTTCTTATAGATTCACCGACAATCAACTTTCTTTTTATTCTCTTTACAGGCAATACAGGTGGAAGTCATAAACTGAATGACTTGAACATTCAAGCTGATGCATCTGGAGATGATGAGGATGACATAGATTGGGAGAAAGGTTAACATATGCTTTGGTATTCCACCTACAAGTTTGTCATGGAAGTTAGATGTGGTGCCAGGACTCCATGGGTACAGAACTGAAGGCACTGTATTTGGGGTCGGAAAAGCATGGGAGATAGGGATAAGGAAGTTGGTGGTTGAAGGAGATTCGAAGGTGATCATAATTTGGCTGAAAGACAGTGATAAGGGTTCTGTGGTACTTCAGGAATGAGATTAAAAAGTTAAAGATTTTCAAAAGATTTGCTGATGGTTCTGTAGTGGGTTTCTAGATCAGCAAACAGCCTAGCTTATCATTTTGCTAAACACGGTGTCAATAGAGGTAATTGCTTTTGGGCTCAGTTGTAACTGTAAGAAAAGGATTCTGTTGTCCTAAGATCATGGGGTAGTCGAGGCTACTCAGAATATTTGTATATTTCTCTTCTGATTTAATAAAAGTCCTCATTCTGTTGCTGATCAAAATTTAAGAAAAAATGTGGTGCCAGAGGGCAGGCCTTTCACAGCGTGCACTTAGCACTTCACCCTCTAAAAATCTCATGATTTATGCAACTGCTGTAGCTTTAAAGCTTTAGCGTGCACTTAGCACTTCACCTTTGTCTTCGTGTTGCATGAGTTGCTTATTTGTTGCTGACTGGGGATGTACCGAAGTTACCGAAGCATTAAGATTTCTGATGACAGATACACAGACCGTGTGAAAAGCAAAATGAGATGGTTATATCCTGGATGCCATGTGAAGGTGATCGGATGGGAGGAGTTCCTGTGTGAGGATGTGACATAATTGGGCTCTTGAAGAGAGTATGCGGAGGCATTTGCCTACGGTTAGGTGTCGTAACTCGTAAGTAGTGATTGGATTATACCTGAGGTTTTAATCGTCCCAGCGGGCCTATTCGGCTATTTTGGACCCTTTGGAAACAGATATATGTAGTAGCAAGATGTATGAACTATGAAGAAGATTTTACGAATTTGAAAATATGTTCCCAACTTCAATAGACGGCATTTAAACCCCCTTTGCACATGCTCTTGTTTTTCATGGTCTGTATAAAGGAATCAATGGACTTTGCCACATGGCTGGTGATGTCGGACTGAAACATTATCTTATGAACAATTTGGAGAAGCCCTTCTGGGTATGGACTACCAACTATGCTGCCATCTTTTAGATGCCAATATTTTGTCCACTAAACTCACCTATGGGTTTGGCACTTTATTTTTCACCTCTTGTTGAAATTCAACATTGATGGTAACTTTTCTGTATTTCTTTGTAACAAGTATTTAGTATGTGTTCGGCGTTTATTGAAAAAATACCAACACATCAGCATCACATAGGCATTAGCGTTTATTGCATATGAAGTAAAATAAAACAACTGTTTGATTTCACTGTTTATCAAATAAACTGTAAAAAATTGATGTCTTGATTTTTGTGCATAAAATATTTGGAGAAATGCCAAATTCTTATTTTCCCCAACGTCCTGACATTTCTTGAAACCAATAATGGGTATCAACCTGAGGTGGAGAATAAAAAACGTTTAAAGTAAAAAAATATAAATAAACAGCCAGTCATAAACGTATACGGAACCAAACACCCTCTTAATCTCTAACGAAAGGTGCCAACAGGCTAGTTGAGGTCTCCTACAGCCCCATGAAGCAAAAGAAAAAAATTAAAAGAAGTTAAATCTCAAACATTCGCCCAGCACGTGTGTTGATTCCCCATCTCAATTTAGTGATTTCGTACCGGTAATTCTGTATTTTTGCTTTGTACTTCTGATCCAGGTCAAGATGGAGAAGGTTTGCTTCAGGTAGGCCAGCCAATTTGAGACCCCACAGACCTTGTGACCTATTGAATCCCGGATTGTTGGAACTTGGAACTTGGAATTGCCTTCACGTTTAGACTGGCCTGACCGCCTGAACGAAGAGAATGAAGGGAAAAAAATCCGCTCTCGTTATTTTCTAGCCAAAATATACAAACAAATGAATCGAAAGCTTTCCCGGTTCCTTCCCCTTCCCCCCCTGTGCATGTCATACACTCAATACATATAAAACCTGTCGTGTTACAAGCTCCAACAGGCCTATTCATCAGTTGGGGGGCAGAAACAGCAAGACTAACTCACAAATCCTGGTGGAAACCACCTATTCTGCGATTATGACCTTGAGGTGCATAATAATCTTCATGAAACACGAAATGATGCTTATGCATGTCTTGCAGCCACAAACTTTCCCTTCTGCAAGGTGGATGCTGTAGAACTGGGAACTTTAGACCACGGTGAAGGCTTGAACCCCCCTGTCAGCAAGTTGGATGCTGCAACTGCCTTTATTTTCCTCCTCTTAGCCTCGAGCTCTAATCTCTTTTTCCCTGATTGGGGGAAAATTGAAGCAGAATTTATTGCCGCACGCTTTTCTTTCTTGTTCCCTTCAAATTTGGAAGAGAATTTCACACGTGCAGCTATAGAAGCATCTTCTTCTGATTTTGGAAGTAGACGTATTCCCAGGCCCATTTTCCTAGAGACAGTCTCCTCTTCAGCAACCCTTTTCTTCTGATTCTGAATGAATCATAAATTGAAGTCAAATTACTATTACCATTATTAAAAAAAGGCAATGACAAAGGAAAAGTAGCCCAGTGAAACATGTTCATACCCTTAACTGAGCACGAAGGGTCTTGTTAAGTGCATAGTCATCTGAATGCCTGGCATCAGATACCCGTTGAAGCCGCACTAATACCGGTTCAGCCTCTTTCTTCTTCTGCAAATCTTCTTCCTGGTGCTCTAGACGATAAAATGGATCTGAAAGCTTGCCTCTTTCTGAAACATGAAACATTCAATGAAATTAGCAATCAGCAGAACAAAGTTTACAACCCAATAAGTGTCAAATTCTTTGATGTCAAAGCCAACCTTCATCAGCTGGGAGTGCAAATGTTTCTGCATCCTCAATGTCAAACTCCTCTGTCTTGCGCTGTGCCCCGCTAATGATCACATACTCGCAGTTTTTAGGGTCTGTCTGGATAACAATTTCATGTTTGCAGCATGCTGATTTCATGGAAAAGCTCCATATCTGAAGAAGACGAGTAGAAGTTACATTATTAACCTAGTTCCAGCAACATGAAAGAAATCCCCTCTGACTTGGATCAATATATGGTCAATAAGTTATTGGCAACAAAAAATGGTAGAGATGGTTAATTTATGGTTGGATGCTTGGGTAGCGCCATGATTGATCCTCTAACTTCGGGTTCGCTAAGGGATTGGTAAAAAATTCAAAGGGCCAAGCACCCTATGTATGTCAAAAATCACCAAAATGCCATATGCATAACTATTCAACATACATATGCAACATGTCACATGTTATGATCCTTGGTGCACAAGCAACCTCTTATACCTTTGTAGAATAATAGTTTCCCACTTGCTTTTTCTCTGCATTGAACCTTACACCCTTTGCAATCATAGAATTGCATCCACCACACCATACATTGAAGGGCATCTCGAACCTGAAACAAATGATTTTGACCTGGGTTAGACATCATGATAAAGCATCCCTTCAACACAGTAAACATGCACGTGAAATGTGGTTCCTCCTTAAGGCGCATCTCTTATATGATTTAAGGCCAGCCAAAAAATGGTTACAGGACAATGTATACTTTTAAGTTCCCTTTGATGGGGGAAGAATGGGTGTACTGCTATGCCTTCATAAATACTTTTAATCTCGTTACTCAATAGATTTCTTTTATTAGATGTTGCTGAATAGATTTAGATAGTGTGACAACAGAAACTACTTTTAGAAAGTAATAGGAACTTCTAAGAGTCATTTTAAGGAAGAAAATTTGTATCAACAATTCAACAATATTAGTAACATCCTTCAAAACCCTAATTGCATCTGGGCGTCAAGAGTTAGTCTGGCAATGATTTAGCTCCAAAGACCCACTATGTCAAAAGGTTTATGCACAAAATTATATTGCTAAATCTTTCAATCTTCTAAAGATCTTGTAATTTGGGCTGTGTTTGGTTTGAAGGAAAAGGTAGGGAAAGGAAGGGAAAGGTATGGAAACCGATTCAAGGTTTGTATAGGTTTCCCTACCTTTTCCTTCAAACCAAACACAGCCTTAGTGAATTAGAAATACAAATATAGATATGATGCAATTTTTCATACTCAATTAACTCAACCTTAATCCCAACCATTTAGGGTTGGACAAAGCCACATATTCTGTTACATTAAGTCCTTAATCATTTCTTACCATTTACCAACTTTTTATCTATTAACATGAAATATATCCATGGAGATGCATGGATTGGGTGTATCATCAAGTGCAACAAAACAACAAAGTCAATTTTGAGATAAAAACAAGTAAATACTTTATAAAGTATGTATAACTCCATACCTTATAATTAAAATGCCCTGGTCTATCTTTCTTGCTCTCTCCCTCAAAGCATGTTGCCCATGAAACTTGTTCAAAGAACCCTGAAAAGGAAAGAAATGTGAGATTCCAGAATACCAAAATATAAAATCAAAAGCTTTCACTTATATAATGTTAGAATCAGTGTTTTAAAAGGCGTGGGAGGCGTACGCCTAGAGGCGCGCCTCCAGGTGAGGTGTTGATACCTCTGAGGCGTGCTAGAGGCGTACACCTCATGCACCCATAGTTGTCAAGGCGGGTGCCTAGGCGACAAGGCACCCTTTGAGGCTCGCCTCGCCTAATCGCCAAGCAGTTTTCTACTTCTTACTATAAAATACTTTTTTATTCATTCTTTTTTGATTTTATAATTATAAAATAGACATTATTAAACTAAAATAATCGTTTTGTGTGTTTATATACTAATTTCTTTTAATTATTTTCTTATTTATTAGGGTTTAATCAACACAAACATTGCTAAATGCTGTATTGAACCCTCAAAGACTTAAAAACCTGAACCAATAAGTACAAAAGAACTTAAAATTTTAACTAATCAGCACATTTTCCTCTTCCATATATTCTTCTTCTACTTCTTCTTCTTCTACTACTACTACTACTACCAATACTTTTTATTTTTTTTCTTTTCCTATAACAAATTAAGCCCCTATATTTTTTGAATTTTATTTTCCTTCTTCCTTTTCTTCTCATGAATAATTATTAAAGAAATATGGTTACGATACCTAGGGAACTACCCTAGGATCTATGTTTTTAACATAAAAAAAATCCATCGCCTAGGTGACAAGGTGCCCCCCAATCGCCTAACCTCGCCTTGGCGCCTTGAAAACTATGCATGTGCCTCATGCAAACCTCATATAAAAAGACAAAAAAAGAGGAAAGGAACGGAAAAGAAAAGGGAAGGGAAAGAAAAAGAAAGAGAAGAAAAAAAAAGAGAAAATGAAAGAAAAGAAAAGGAAATGGAAGGGAAGGGAAGGGAAGAAAAGATAAGGGGAAAGAAAGTGGTCTGCCCCCGACCCCTTTGCTCGCTCGCCTCCGCTTCGATAAGACCCCCCTTTCAACTAGTGTTATGCATCTTTATTCTTCTTAATATAAAAGATTTTTATTAAAAATAAAGAAAAAATGAGATCCCCCTTCCTTTTCTTCCTCCTCCCCTTCTTCCCCCTTCTTCCTCTTGAGGCTTACACCTCCTTGTGCTCGGGAGGCTTACGCCTCTTACGTTCTGAATTATGCTTTACGCCTCTAGGTAGTGGAACGCCTCGCATCACGCCTCCGTGTTTTAAAACATTGGTTAGAATAAAGTAACACGAACTTCATATTTACCTGCTTTGGAGTCCATTCTGGAGGATAGTAAAAATTGTCTGCTCTAGCAGCTGCAAGGGAAGACTGCAATAAACCAAACAAAGAAACTTGAGTAATCAAAAGGAGAATAAAAATAGAAGGGGAAATATATGAAGGATGTCTAACAAGATACTAGAATAAACACTTCTACCGCTATAAATGATAATGAAAATTAACATCTAGGTTTGCTCCTTTCATATAAGAAAGCAAAACCATACCTAGTTAAACTTCAAACTCTTCCACTAAAGGAACTTGAAAAATATCAAACTATATGTTTACCCCTTATTATAAGGATGTGCCGGTGCAAATTTTAGACCAGAATCTTAGGCTCAGTTTGGAAAGAGTACAAATGCAACTATGTACAGTACAAATACATACAAAATATAAGGTTTTGCACTCTACATATTTGCATTTGTATTCCTTCCAAACTGAGACTTAATGACATGCTAGTAACTTGATTCCCAAGGAAATAATTTCCTCGCAGGCGTTAAGGTCCCAATTAGTGGAAAAGAAAACGCACAAGAGTGTTTGTAATTCATTGATTCATTCCCAATATATGATCATAGGTAAGAATTCTATATCATCTTGTTTCGTACACGAAAAAAGAAAAAAAAAAGTCCAACTAGCATCATCAAATCATTGCAGTAGTAATTTGGTAAAACTATTTTATCCCTAACAGTTTTTCTTCAACAGCGCAAATAATTCCGTTAAATCTATTGTGGGAAACTGAGGAATCTGAACATTCTAAGATCAACATTAGACTGTTAGAGAAAACAACAAGGAATTTATATTCGACCAAAGACGATACAATCACTTCAAACGATTCCCCAATAAGGACGATCTTTATAAAAAAAAAACAAAAAAAAATCGGAAAATGGTCGATCATCATAAACCCTTAATTTCACCAGTTAAACCAGAACATCTTTTGCAATTATTCACATAAAAAGGAGACAAAGTTGAGAAACCGAGATCTAATGAAACCCTAATTTCATCAAATTGCATGAAAAAGAATAAACCGATTCAAGAACTTCAAATCGCTTACCATTTTTTATTGTTCAAAATAGGACCGACTAGCGAGTTCTACAACCAGAGAACGTTTCGGTTTGTGTTGAAATGAAGACTGAAAGCTTTCGATGGATCGTCTGGATCGTCCTGATCTCGTTGGCGCGTACCCTGCGCGGCGAAATTTAGGTTTTCGGGCAATTCTCTTAAATTATAGTGTTATAGGAAATCGACTTACTCACCCTTATTGTTTAAAACTTCTTTTAAATACCCTACGTTTTAGAAAATTGATTTTTTCACCCTTACAATTGATTAAATCTTTGGGTAATTTCCTGAAACCTCCTCTTAAATTTTTGGTTGTTGTTGAAACCTCTGTTGAAGTTTTATAATTACTATAACCTCCCCTAAGCTTTCATTTTTTCAGTAAACCTCTGTTGGGTAATTTCCTTTCAGTAAAATCTTCTAGGTATAAAATGTCCAAAATACCTATGTAGTTTCTTTTAACAAAAGTGTTTATTTTCATTTTTTCTTCATACAAATCACTACCCCAAACCCTTCCAATCTGTTCAGAAAAAAAACACTTTCAATCTCTTTTCTGAAATTAATTTATTTTTCAAATTTGCCCTTCATTTCAATTGCTCAAAGGTAAAAAGCTATAATTTTAAATTCTCTTTGTTTTTGTTGTTCATAAAGTTTGCATTATTTTTTTCATAGAAACCAACCTCAATGGTACTGCATGGGTATAAAGGGAGTCTAATTGCAATTGTATCATAAAGTTTACGGAGAAGTATGGATAGGCCCAATGTAGATTTATGATTTCCACTGCAGAGTTATAAACATTCAAAATGTCAAAATCCCCCACTCTACATACCAATGCCCGCTCGTGAATTGTCATCAATTCCGAGCTAGCACCCACTCTAACTATACTTTGGGCCTAAAAATTTTGACCCTGGGCTGAATTGTCATTCTCCCTAAAGTTTAGGGGAGGTGGTTGCAATTACTAGACTTAAGGGAAAGTTTTAGTAAGAGTGCAAATTTAATAATCTATTAATTTTTAAAGAAAAACAAGTAAGATCAAATCAGATCCGAAGATTTGATAGGATTTGAATTCAGATCAAGTCCTACCAGATCTTATCGAATCCGACATTAGGGGTGTACAATCGGTTGGTTTGGTTTGATTCAATTAGAGCCAAAGACCCAACCGACTATTTGATTTGACCATCTCTCCCAACTGAACCATATTGGATTATAATTTAAAACCAAACCGACCCTAACCGAATTCAATTCGATTTTGTTTTTTGTTCGAATGATTAATGAACAATTAGCTTATTTATCTATTAATCTTTAGTCTAGCTTTTAATGAACAATTAATACAACTATAGTTATTTAATGAACGATTGAATAGCTAATTATTAAAGCAATTATACTCATTCTTCACAAACAATTAATGATTGATTAATATTTAGTCTAAGTTTTAATACTCTAGTTGCTTAGAATCTCTAGACTATTTAATTAACTATTATTAATTAAAAGCTGGAATAGGCCCAACCTCTCAAAGCACAATGGGGAATTGTGAATGTTGAGGGTTAGTGGTGGTTGGCACCGACGTGGGTAGAGCCCAAGGTTCAAAGTATCAGCCTGTATCAGTACTTTTTTAAAAATTTTATTTATTTTTCTTTGAAAACCGATTTAGAGGGGTCGATTTAAGGCTGGCTGCCCTCTGAACCAGTGTCTGGCATGATACAACCCCTGGAGGGGCGTATTGGAAAGCCATTGGCACGATATGTATCGGCCAATACGGGCCGATACTTTGAACCTTGGTAGAGGCAAAAGCAAAGGGAGAGGAAAAAATGGTGATTGGTAAGCAACAAAGACGGGAAAGGGAATGTGAAGATTAGGTATGTGTTTGGTATAGCTTCCGTTTATTAATTAAACGTTTGTACTTGATTTATCTTCAAAACTGAAAAAAAATATTTAATAAACTGTTTATTGATAAATAGGTGTCATTAGGTTTCATTAGGCACTACATCAACTAAATAGTGAATGTTTGCTCAACCGTTGGGGGAAGCATTAAAATGAAGCTTCCCAACAGTTGATATGCACATAAATCAAAACCAACTTCTGTAAATACCTATGCGTATGGATGAACATGATGGGATAAATGTTGATTTGGCGATGACACAGTGGCATTTATCAAAACGCGTATCATGAAACGCTCACAAAACTAAACATGTGCTGGATTAGGTTAAGGTTTTAGAGAAAAGGGTAATGAAAAGAAAATAAAGAAAATTCATGTGGGTATTTTGGTAATTTAATGCATTCCGTTATCTCACTTAAATGGCTAGGGGTATTTGTTGCATGATAAAAGTTTAGGGGGGTCTTTGTCACTAACCCCATAAAATAAAGGAGTATTTGTAATTTACCCTTATTTTTATTTTTTATTTAATTCTTTTACTTTGATAATTCCATCATAGATAATGAATATTAATATAACTACAGGCTAACAATTTTGATACATTTACAAGACACTTTCATTTTTCTCAAATTCTTCGGTTTGATTGCGGTGCAATTTCACTTGCACTAGTATAAATGCATTGGAATGCAAATAAAAAAATACAAATTATGGGTTAACTTGTTTTTTGTTTTTGTTTCAAGTTTTATTTTTTCATCTGCATCGTAAATACTAAATAGAAAAATAAGGTAATACCTTAAACAAAAATAAAGCGAGTCTGCACTAGATTAATTTGCACTCACATAATTTCGCATCTGTCCAAAATGAAATTGCACTAAGCTGAATGGGGTGATTTTTGTCTTACCAAGTGAGTTAATAAGGGACATGGTTTTCAAAACCGGACCGGACTGGATGGTCAGACCAAAAAAACTAGGGACCAGTTAGGTGATCGGTTATGTTTTCCTTAAAAACTAAATTTCCCTCCAAAACCGTTGATTTGGTCAGCGAACTGCTAAACTGAGTGGTTAACCGTTCAAACGGTTTTGATCATTTTTCTAAGTTTTTTTGTTAGAACGGGCCGAGCGTTCGGTTCGAACAGTCGGACCGTTCGACCCGGTAACCGGACCCCTGACCGGTTCAGTCACTGGGTCAGTTTTAAAACCATGATAAGGGAGGTTCATGTATTTTTTAGGGATGGCAATTTTCCCCATCCTGCCCTGACTTCGATTGAGGTCCCCGCCCTGCCCTGTCCTGATAAGGGATGACAATTTTCCAACCCGATGGGGTCGGGGACCCCGCCCTGCCCTAACCTCGATTATATATATATAACGTATTTAAAACATTACTTATAATTTAAAATGTTTATTTATTTTAAGTAAATTTATTTAAAAAAACTATTATCTAGAAAAATTTTGGGGGTTCGAGTCCTTACGGGAAACCCATCCTTATCAAGGATTGGGGATGGAGGACAAATTTTACCCCAGACGGGGATCGGGGATGGGGATGGGGGTTAATTTCAGAATCGAGGGCGGGGACGAGGAATATGATCCCTGCCCCGAAACCGCCTCGTTGCCATTCCTAGTGGTTTTTTAGAAAGGTGAGAAGAGGTTATTTTCCTTAATAATTTTTAGGCGTGGTAATGGGCTAGGTTCAATCACGCTATGCAAAGTAGCATCATGGGCCTAACAAATATAAAAATATTATACATAATAAAAAATATTACATATATAATATTTTTATTTTATATATAATAACTAATTTTCATAATTCTTAATTTTTTTATATGTCAAATAAAAATAATTATATATATTTTTATTTTTATAAAATGTTTGACTCACAATCAAGCTTGAACTGATCCGAGCTTTTGACTCAAGCCGAATTTGAGCTCAAATCTCTAGCTCAAGTCTGATGGTTTATAAAGCGAGCTGAGCTCGAATAGCTAGATATTCAGCTCGATTCTACTTGAATCCACCCATAGCTAAAACCCATGATCAAAAGTAGCCCACTATTTAATGGGTTTTAAATTAAAGGATAATGTATGACTTACCTATTGAAGGGGATAGAAGCATTTGGGGTAGACTAAAAAGAACATGGCTAGAAATAATAAGAAATAATTTAAACACTAATGATTTTATAATGGATATAACTTAAAATAGAATAGATTGACGAAATAGGATTTATGTAACCAACCCCATATAGTTAAGATAAGGCATAGGTGATGATGATGACATCACCTACCTATTGGGCCTACAAGGTGCAATGCTAGTCCAGCCTAGCCAAATGCTAGATGGAACTGAAACATGTCTCTCCAATTTGGCCCATCATCAATTGAACTTTTTCTCTTTTTTTTTTCTGATTTTTGTCTCTGAACTTCTATTCCATTCTAATTTCTAAAACGTACAACTCTTTCTAACTCTTGTGGTTGTTATATATAATGCAAGTAGAAGAAACCCTTTTGGTCATTTTTCGTTGTCACGACACAAAAGTTCAAACAGACTAAGCTCTAATTTCTATTGTGGTTCAAAAGATCTTTTGAGAAAGCCCAACCCAACCAAACGCCAAACCTAAGTTGGCAGTTGATACCAAAATTAAGTATAAACCGAATCTTTTCAGCCAAAGAAAACTCTGTTCATTACTTTCCCAGTGTTGCAGGAGAAAGACGAGATGCCCTACCCTGTTATGAACGGTTCAGATTGTCTTGCTTAAGACCTGACTGGGTCCCTGTCCATATGATTTGAACCAGGGTTAAACCCAAAATTGATTCGTCCCAGGTGATCTCAAACTGTTTAAGGCCAAACCCATTGATTATTGAATTAGGTTTGTTTTCACCTGGTCCATGTACTTGTAATTGTACTACTAGGAATTAGGAAAGAGAAGGAAATTATGACATACAATGATACAATACAACAGTTGGTGAAGCAGCTGCTGATTAGGAGTGACATGGGCTGGGCCAGGTTGGGCTTTACATCTATTATAACGTTAAGATCTAGGCCCTAGTCCGACGCTCGGACATATCAAGCTTGATCCTGGGCCTATGTCTTTCTTTCTCTCTCTCTATATCAGAAATGAGTATTCCAACTAATTCAACATTCCTTCTAAACTCTACACAAATTATAGAATCAGGATGATATTTTAAGCGACAACCCACATGAGGTGGAGAACTTTTCGCCAGTTGATTTGTGACAGTGGGACATGGGCCTTATATATATATATATAAATTCCAAGCAAGGCCCAACCCATGAGGGCT